ATAAGGCATTTTGTCATCAGAAGTAATCTTAAATAATTTACAGGAGAAGCAAGTGTAATTAGAGTAGAAATCTGTGTGAAATAACATAAAGTGATCAAAACAATACGACAACACTGAAGAAGAAAACTGGGTAACATCAACCAGGTGAGCAAAAAAGATTTGAGGTTGGGAAGGGAATGCTGATGCTCAAACCATCTCCAGGCAGCTCATCTGGCAAACAGAAGTATAACATGTCCCGTGTTCCCAGCAGCAGAGGTGGCTTTGCAGAAGACACAAATGGGGTATTTTTCGTGTGCTTTAGATGGCCACCAGTGCAGGTTCAGAGCTGAGGCACCATTGTCTCTCTGCCAGTCTTTGCCTGCCTATAGCTCTAGGTTAGGTGCTGTGGGGACTGCCAGCAGGAATTAAAGAGCAGCTTACAGGTTAAATAACTCCTATGTGCTTCAGGTCATGCACTGGGCCCACAGCACAGCTCACCAGGAAAATTCACATTTTAGCAGTGTCTGTAGAGGAGGTAAAAGAAAGAAGAGCTGGACTGGATGCCCAGACATCAAGTTACAAAGGCTTTTTTTGCAGGAATTGGTGTGTGTGATTAGATGGCATATACTTCTTCACAGCTGTCACCTTGTGCTATCTGGTTTCCTTGTCCCAGCCCTTTTATCACTTCATTTTAGGCATTCATCTCAAATTTTCTCTAAATGTTGCGACAGCATTTGCCCTGTGAAATTGGGATACAGCGAGATTACAATTACTGCTATTCCAGCAAAATCCAGGAAAGATATAATTTCTTTAATTATTATAACAGCTTCTACTCTTCAGACCAAGTTCTCTCACTTGTAAGTTCTGCTGGGAAGCAACATCCAGAAATTGCAGGTGTCCACAGTACTGGGAGTGTTTAATGGCACTGTGGATATTGTGATTATTTTGGAAAGATTCTGTCATACCTGCTGCATACCACCTTTTATCAGCAACTTCTGAATCCATGAAGGATTCTTTCTCTCCTCAGCCATGCTTTGGGTGCCAGAACTATCTACATTTGACAGTAAAGAAAGAAAAGGATAATCAAAAGTTTGAGTGATCAATGGGAATAGCTGGAGGATGGTCTTTTATTCCTAGTTGCCTCAAAAATATCATCCACAGAACTCTCAGGCAGCAGTGGGAGCTTGCTGCTTTTGTCTTACAATACTCCTATGCTGTTGTACTTAATATGGAACCACTTTTATCAAGTTCCCTGCTACAATATCTGGAGTCAAGGCAGAGGCTGGCAATTAGGTTCCTGAAGTATTTCTATCTTCTGATTTTTTATGCACACTTTCTAATCATCCCACCTGAAGATTTAGTGTACAGGCTTTCAAAAAAAGTACATACACCTTGAAAAGATTTGTTTAGATTTGATATATTGGAAATTCACACAGCTTAGAGGACTCCAGAAGCTGGCTATCAGTTTATGAGATACAGTGCTTTCAAAAACTGTGATTTTCCATATAGAATGGAAAAATAAGCACTAGGAAAACAGTTGTAGAGGAATAGAGATCCATGAGCCCTTAACTGCAATCATGGGGGAAATCCTTGGATTTCAGTAGAATCCTGTTTAGAGAACTGAATTCCTGTGGATTAAAGTCATTCAGCTTAAGGTCATTGGCATTGGAAAACTACTCAGGAAAGAAGTGAAGTCCAGCTCCCTCCACAGACCTAAGGGAATGCAAGGTCCTTGCACTGCTTTTCACCTCCTTTCAGCCTTCCTCATTTTACTTTTATGCTCTGTTCTTCCCTCCCACCACATTCATGGAATACTGTTTCATCTCTTCTTTACTGAGGCACTGTTATTACCTTAATCATGACTCTTGTGGAAATACTCAAGGCCAGAAAGTTTGCAAGGAGTGATTCCAATGATGAACTTTCAATGATGAAATTTTCAAGATGAATTCTTGCATTCATGCTGGGAAGGAATCTACCACCTTCTGAAACACTGGGAGTACTAGCTTTTACTGCTTTTTAGTGCTGCCTGCTCGACTCTGCTTGTCCTATTTATTCATTGTTATTAGTCTGCCAAGGCTTGCTGAAAGGAGGCTTGACATTTACTTGTCTTTGACACTCCTTCTGTAGTTCGAGGTATTACAAAATCAACAGCAAGGACACCTTCCAGAGCCTCTTAGTTTGCACTCACTTTATATACTTATTCATTCTTGGTGAATCACTGTCATATTTGAAGAGAAGATTTACACAAATCAGGCTACTGAAAAATAGCATTTTTAAAGTTTTAAACCTTTAAATGAACTATTCCATCATTCCACTCTTAAAGTGACTCTTACACTTACTGAAACTATGTACCTTCAATACCCAGAGCAAGCAGAGATTGCAGTGTTACTGCACAAAGTGTTTAGGATAACTAGCTGGTTTTCCCAACATGATATTTTCTTAGTTAATGAAACTAAAATTACAGGAAAAAACAAAAACAACAACAAAAAATAAAAATATTAAATTCAAGAACTTCACTTGTATTTGTATATAATAAAATAGTTCACAGTTCAGCTGTGAATACCTTGTGTTCACATTTATAGGGCGGTGAAAATAAAGAAGAATCAGTGGAGCCTGTCAAGGAAAACCCACGTGCTTACTGAGACGAATATGGGGAAGAACTTACTTTATGAGTTAATTCTTACTGAACTCCAGCCTGCATAGCCCAGCCTCAAACCCAGGGGAAGCCCTGGCTAAAATCCAGGAAAAACACTGCTGAGGATCCAAGGAATCAGAGCCATGATCTGTGTGGAGAGTGTCCCTCACAGGAGGAACCTGAATGGAACTGAGCGAGGCTGGGGCAGGAGGGTCAGAGCGAGCAGAGAAGGGCGACCCTCTGTCCATGCCAAGGCCCAGGGCAGCCCTATCCCGGGAAGTGGGCAGGGAACGGATCCTTGAGCTGCTGCACGTTTGTGCTGCCCTCGCTCAGCCGGGAACCCCCTCATTGCCTGGGGGGAGCTGGTGGCAGTGGGGAGTGGGAGAGGAAAGAAGCGGAACACAAGGATCTGTCCTACAGCCACATGGACTGCAATGCCGTGTTCATGGGCTGTGCCAAATGGCTGCCCTGTTGGGAACAGAACCAGAAACCTCCATCAACATCCTAATTTACTGCTCCAGAGAAAGAAAAATTCCAAACTTTAATTCCAAGGCGGATAATTTAATATCTCCTTGGCATCTGGAGATCTATTACCTGAATCCAGTCATGAGTTTCCTTCAGGTCTCCACCCTTGGGACCAGTTAAAAGATAGTGGGGTTAAACTCTTTCTCACTTCTTAAATCTGGATTCTCCCATTCCATAAAAGACTTTTAGTTGCCACAGCCTTAACTTGCTGTGAGGCTTTAAGGATTACAGAGCCTCCTACTCTCCTCACCATTAAAGCTGTGGCTGCACAAGTTTGCAAACAGTGGGGCCACCTCTCGCCAAGTGGTCTAACATTTTAGAAAAAGGGACCATCGGTCCTCAAGAACTGCCCTGTAGTGTTCTTGCACTAGAACTCCTTTGGCCTGCTTCTGTTCAACATCCACATAAAATTCAAATTCTTCTTCCCTGTTTGGAAGGGCTAGGGCAGGTTCCTCAGTTCATCTGCTTTTTAACACTTCAAAATTCTGTCAGGTTCTTACCTGGCAGGAGAGCAGTGCTATAGGGAGACATCCGTGGCTCCAAAAGACCTGCCTTTAACAGTGACTCTGTAACTGGCTGTAATCCCTTCCTTCCCTCCCTTGAAATAATGTATTGCTTTTTAGACAGCACTTGTCCTGGTGGCTTCAAAGGGATTTGGAAGGTTCCATATCTCATTTTCCACATTTCCTTGGGACTGCCCACACCTGTGGGTTTACTTCAGCATAGACCTTCTCAGACCTAAAACGGTGGTAGCTTCCTTATCCCCTTTCACAATATTAATTCACCTGGCTCATGGGTGATAGGAAGGCAATGCAGGTTCTATTTCAGGATTTGAAGAGGTGTTTTAATTGTCCCTCAGAGAATCCTTCTGGAGCAGAAATCCCGGTGTGAAATGAACGGAGACAGGGAGTGAAGAACTGACTAATGTGATATGGGAATGTGTCTTGCTGGGGATCCAAGCCAGCCGAATTTCACCCAGCAAAAAAAAGGCATGAAGTTCAAGCCTTGGGAAGAATTAAGTTATGGCAAAGAGAAAGGGCTTATGGCAGTTAATAAGTTAATCAACTCACCCCTTATAAGGTTATGTTTCTAGAATGTTCCCGGTTCTCTCCCCTGATTGGTTGTTATTTGTCACAGAATTTTGCATATTTCTAACTCCAGTGGTAGGACCCATGCCCTCTGACTCTGCCCTCAGACCTACCCTATAAATTTTTGTGTCTGCCCGTAGTCCTGGTCTTTGGAGTTTGTCCCTATACTGCGCACGGTTTATGGGCATCGTCCCTATTTTATTTCTCATTAAAGTGTTAATTTTAGGCGGACACAAACTCTGTCATACCATTTCCTTTTATTTGTGCCTCAATTCCCTGAAGTCAAAGAACCCTAAAGTATTAAAGGTACGGGTTTTCAATGGGATAGCATCCATTTTATTCCCAGTAATAGGCACAGAACTGGATTTGAATTCAACTTCCGATTCAGCATGGGAATGTAGTGGATAGAACACCGATGGTTTCCATGTTGCTCAGCAGGGCTTGTCCTGTTCAAGGACTTTGCAATGCCCTATTGGAAAATCCATGTCCCATGCTCTGCCAGCAAGGAGGCGACACTATCACCATTCCCCTCCTCATCCCTGTGTCCCATTTTGACAAGAATCTTCCTTCCTCTCTGCTCCAGAGGGTGCTCGAGTGCCCACAGGAAGCCCCTTCCTCGCTCCTGTGTGACTGGTGAGCACTGGTGTGATCCAGGGCCGTGATGTCACACAGCCGTCCTGGCCACAGCACTGTGACATCACCATGCCAACCCTACATAAACCAGGCCGGCGCCCCCAGCTGCCAGTGCAGTTGTGAGTGGACGTGCCGTAGCGATGGGTGACGGTGGCATCCTGATGGCTGCACTTGTCCTGCTGCTGGCCGTTGTGGCTGTCTGGTGGGCCGTTGGCCTCTGGCAGCCATGGAGGCAGCAGGCAAAGAAGCGACGCAGGTTTAGGCCCAGAGGCCCATGGAGGAACCGGGCAGCCCCTGCGGCTCCCAGGTTCGCCAGGCCTCGGGCGACCTCTCGCCAGCGGCCAGGTGCTCCCGCAAGCCCTCTGGAGAGCTCCTGCAGCTGCGGTCCCTGCATGGCAGTGGCCCTAGGGCTGCAGGAAGTTATGATCCAGATCTGGGCACAGAATGGGACATCTGTGCCGCTCTACTTTGGGATGTGGCAGGCACTGTGGACACAACTGGAGAAGTTGATGAAGCGAAGCCACCTGCCCTGCTGTGGCTCGCCCAGCTTCTCCAGAAGCCGCCATCCCATCAAGAGGCTGCTCCCACCAAGATTGGCCATCGGTAGGAGAGCCTCAACCCTTGCAAGGATGGCACACCAGAGAAGACCCGCCATCCATGTAAGAGGTTCAGGCTGTCAGAGGATGTCCATCATGCCAGGAGCCTCTGCTACCTCTGACAGCCTCCATCTCTCAGAGAGGCTCAGCCAGACCTGTCAGCCTGCAGAAGGTGCAGAGCCCAGGGACAGGTCTCCCAGCTCCCATGGACCCTTGGCCCTCGACAACATGGGCGCATCCCTGACCACTGACATGGCCAGGGAAAGCCCACAGGTCCAAGTGGGAGCCCAGCCCGATCCAGGGGAGCCACACCAGGAGCAGCTGGAGGAGCAGCAAGTGTCCTGGAGCCAGCAGCTGCTGGACCACAGCTCCCAGGTCACGGTGCTGGACGTGCCAGCTGGTACCAGCCCGTGCCTGGTTGAGGAGGCAATTCCCGAGGGACCAGGGAGTTTCCTCCATCTCCAGGAAGCTGCTCCCATACAGCCACCAACAACCAGTAAGGCTTCCGAACAAGCAGGTGAGATCTAAGGAGCTGTCTGAGGCTCCCATGGTGCTCTTGAGGGCCATTCCCAGGCCAGGCCAGGCCAGGCCAGGCCAGGGCTTCTGAGAGCAGCCTAGTGGCTGGCTGTTTTCAGAAGCCCCTGATGCCACGGCTTCAAACAAGCCCTCTCTGCTTTGCAGCTGCTCCTGTGACCCCCCTGTGTGAAGAAGCCTCGGGCTGTAGCCCCGGCCGTCCACACGGGCAGAGTCCAGCCCAGGACGCCGGGGACAGCGACGGTGCCGCCCTGCCCCGCTCCACTCGGGCTCCTGCAGCCGCCTGTGCGCCCTGTCCTGGCCCAGCTGTGCCGCTCGCCAGCCCGACGGCGGAAAGGCTGTGGCCGCTGCCCGGCGCGCAGGAGGAAGCAGGTGAGAGCAAGGTGGCCGGTGCTGGCTGGGGCCGCTGCACTGGCGGGCACTCGGGGGGTTGGTTCCTGGGCGCGAGGCTGACGGCTCGGTCTTGGCCGCAGGGCACAAGAAAGAGCTGTGGGAGCTGTACCAGCTGGGCCCGCAGCTAGCTGGGGAGCGGTGGCTTCGGCACCGTTTTCTCGGGAACACGACTCTCCGACGGGAGCCCGGTAAGTGGCCGGGACGGCCGGGCGCGGCAGGAGGGCCAGGGGCGGCGCGGGACAAGGCTTGAGTTCTCTCAGCTCTCTCCACTGCTTGCAGGTGGCCATCAAGCGCATGGCCCGGGACACGGTCCTGCAGTGGGACGAGCTGGTGACTGAGCGGGGCCAGCGGGACAGAGAGGGCTGTAGCAAGCAGGGATAAGGCCGGGGCCGAGAGCGGGACATGGCCGGGGGCTCAGCGAGCGAGGCCGAGCATCGCGGGCCCGGGGATGCCAAACAGCGGTGATGGGTCCAGGCAGGGGCACTTCCCAGTCACCCCCCGGGCGGGAGGAGTCCCAGGCAGGGGGGAGGCTGCCCAAGGCGGGACTGGGGCATCCCGGGCAGGGGAATTGCAGCCGCAGGGCAGCATCAGGCCCTGTGATGGAGGCATTGTCTCGTCCTCACAGCCCGACGGCACCTGTGTTCCAACGGAGATCGTGCTCATGAAGAAGGTGGGCTTCGGCTGCCGCAGAATCATCCAGCTCCTGGACTGGTTCGAGCTGCCCGACAGCTTCGTCCTGGTGCTGGAGCGTCCGGAGCAATCTCGGGATCTCCTGCGCGTCCTGGTGGAGCAAGAGTTCCTGAGCGAGGAGGCGGCGCGCTGGCTTTTCTGGCAGGTGCTGGAGGCCGTATGGCACTGCACCGCCTGCGGCGTCCTGCACCGGGACATCAAGCCGGAGAACCTCCTCGTGAACCCGGAGACTGGCGAGCTGATGCTCATTGACTTCGGTTGCGGCACCTTCCTCCAGGAGCGGGCCTACACAGAGTTTGCCGGTGAGCCCAGAGCGCGGGCCCTGCTCCCAGTGCCAGGCACTGCACGGCCCCATTCCCTCCTGGGCCGCGGGGTGCGGCATTCAGCCGGCTGCCCTGTGGCACGGGGCAGGTGCTGTGCCCCAGGAGCCGGCTGCCGGCGCTGCCGATGGAAAGGGGCTGCAAAAGCCGGGCCCCGGCTCCTCGGCTTGGCAGGCCCGCAAGGCCTTGGGCTGCTCCGCTGGCCTCGTCAGCCTTGCAGAACGGTTTCTTGGCTTTGGCCCATTGTCAGGGGGAGGGAGGGAGGGAGGCAGGCCTTGGGGGGAAGTTGTTGCCACGGCTGCAGCCCCTGCCTCTGGAAGGCAGCAGCCTGCGTCTGAGCAGCGCCGCCCGTCTCCCCTAGGAACACGCTCGTACTGCCCGCCCGAGTGGATCGGCCTGCGCTGCTACCACGGCGATGGGGCGACCATCTGGTCCCTGGGCGTGCTGCTGTTCGAAATGATGTGCGGGTTCCTGCCATTCGAAAACGAGCGTGACATCGTGTTGGGGCAGCCCATCTTCCCGCAGGAGATCTCTCCAGGTTGGTACGCGGCCTGAAGAAGGCAGGCTTTGGCAGGTGGCACCGCGCAGCCCGGCCCGGCCCTCCCGCAGCTCCGCGGGACGTCCGTGTGCCCTCAAGGGCCGGCTGCAGCAAGTGGCCCGTGCCGGGCTCGGTGTGGCACGCTTGGCTGAAGTAGGGGGCCCTTGCTTGTCCTGCCGTGCCGCTCTCCCGCCAAGGGCAGCTCCGAGCACACGCAGCGTGGCCCGGCTTCTGCAGGCGCCGGGAGCAGCTGGGCAGGAGCCTTCTGCAAGTGAGCGCCGCTTTCTGCCTTCTCTCCGCAGAGTGCCAACATCTGATCCGCTGGTGTTTGTCCAAGCACGCCATTGATCGGCCAGTGCTGGAGCAGATCTTCTACCACCCTTGGGTGTTGGGTGGGCATTCCTGATGCCTTGCCACAGCCTCTGCAGCACCCAGTTCCTGTGTCCCATGCAGGACTGAGGGCCGAGAAATAAAACAACCCGAAAGCCACTGCGGGCTGTCAAGTCTGGTCCTTGTTAGCAAGTTCAGCTAAGGGAACCTCTTGGGAAAAGGGATAATCAGAGCGTTCCCTTCAGCCTTTGTCAAGCTTTTGACGCCTTTCCTCCAGGTTGTAGTTTTGTGTCTTCAAGCACAGGCTGTAGTATGGGTAGGAGGGGCTTTAGGAAGGCAAGAAATTCAACAACAGTGAAACAATCGACAGCTGCCCTTTTAAATTGACAGGGTCACTTGGGGTCTGTCTGTCCTCTTGTCCCCCTGGTGGGTGGCTGGGTCTGCCTTCTTTGCATTTTCACCCAGAGCGGCAAATCTCAGTCAAAGCATTTGATGTGTTGATACATTGAGTTTCTGCCAATTTTATTCTCTGTTGTCTTCAGCGGATCTCGAGGGCTCTTTGTCCTTCTCTGATTTGGGGGTGCCAGTGTTGTCACCGTCCTTGCAGCCCCCGGCCATTCTCCATCTTCCTTAGGTTTTGAGATTGCCCTTGGGCTTGGGCTTACAGCTGCAGTTGGGGCTGGCTTTGGGCTTAGGGCTAAAGGTGGCCTTGGGATTAGGGCTGAGCATTTGGGAAGGGCCTGGAGTTGGGGCTGGCCTTGGAGTTAGGGCTGCCTTTTAGATTAGAGCGGGGATTGGGTTTAAGGCTAAATGTGGCATTTGCCTTTGGCCTGGCCTTGAGCTCGGGTTTGGGACTGGGATGAGGTTTAATCAAGGACCATGTGTGTTTCTCAAGGCGGAGTGAGATCAAGATGAGCACCAGGGTGAAGTTTGGGACCAAGCACACTGCCAGGGGCAGCTGTCACTGCAGGACATCCCTGGCATCGCCGTGGGAGGTGCCCCCTGCCCAGGGATCCAAAGATTCAGTTTCAGATAAACCCTGTTAAAGTGAGAGGTGTAGTTTTAAAGCCCAGGAAGAGTGGATTCTATCCTGCACCTTGGGGATGGGCCCTGTGAGCCCGGGAGGGCTTGAGCCACCCCAGAGCCTCGTGGTGTGGCAGTCCAGGGAATTCTGAATTTCTGGTTTTGAGCTCCTGGGGATTCTCCCTTGCTGTGTTCCTATTAGTCCCTGACCTTAAACACTACCCTGGTTCTGTCCCGTACAACCCAGCACCCTGCCTCTGTTTGGCACTCTCTGTCTCTGGATCAAAGCTGAGTTAATTCCTGTGGTGAATAAATGGTATCCTGAGCAGAATTGCGTCTCGTTCAGTCCCAGGCCGGTCCCTGGACATGATCCTGCAGGCCTGAAATGCAGCAGATGGTCACCTGACAAACAGGGACAGAGACACTGTACAGGTTTTCTAATGCATTCTTGGCCTCTATCTTCAACATTCATCCCTCCCTTCCCAGTGGAAAACACGTATTGTACCAAGAGACACTGCAAAGTCCTTGAAGAAGGCAAGCCCTGCTCAGCAGAAACCAAAGCACTCCTGACCGAACCACAGCATCCCCATCTTGAATCCAAACCCAGCATGTGCCAGCTATTGGGAAGAGAGGAACCCTATTGCAGGCAAAACCAGAGCAGTGGGACAACCATGAGCGCTCTTTGGAATATCCGGATTTATTTTGAACAGAGGCTCTGCAGAAGTTGGTGAGCTGCTAAGAAAAAACTCTTGCAGTCCTCGCCAGCCATTTCAGGAGAGCTTCCCAGAGACAGAGGAACTTCACCTCCCTTTGTCTCTGGGGGATCTTCTCTGGCACAGGATAGAGGTTGTTTGAAGTTGGTGCCGCTGCAGCGTCCTGGGAGCCAGGGGCTTTACGCTGGTGACACCAGCACTCTTCCTGATGTGCTGCCACTTGCTCCAGGGAAGGATTGATTGCAAGGGGCTGAGCTTCGGTTCTTATTTCCAGGCAGGTGCTGTGCCCCAGGAGCCGGCTGCCAGCGCTGCCAACAGAAAGGAGCTACAAAAGCCGGGCCACGGCTCCTTGGCTTGGCAGGATAAAATAGTTCACAGTTCAGCTGTGAATACCTTGTGTTCACATTTATAGGGCGGTGAAAATAAAGAAGAATCAGTGGAGCCTGTCAAGGAAAACCCACGTGCTTACTGAGACGAATATGGGGAAGAACTTACTTTATGAGTTAATTCTTACTGTCTCCTACAGATCTTCCTGCACTTTGTGCCCTATCAGCAGCAGGGACCACAGGGGCCACAAGCAGTGTCATAGAGAGAGAACACTGTAGTCTCTCTTATGTTTCTCTTACGAAGAGATGATATTTTTATAACCCCTTTGGATCTGGCAGCCTGATATGTCACTTTAAAACTGAGGTTTCAATACTGCGAAGTTCACATGATTTCTGAGAAAATGGAATCAGAAAAATTCGTATTACATGCTTAGCATACCACCTGCCAGTGCAGGCTTTGGTCAGAGCACGCATTTCTCAGGTCTTTCAGAACTGCTTAGGCTGCAATGTGTCACAAATTCCCTTTATCACATTCAATCTGTTGAAGACAGATGCTTGGTAACCAATTATTAAAAATCTATGAAAAATTTATAGCTAACATTCTGGAATTGCATAGCTTCTTTTGTTAAGATTTTGAGATTTGAGTTTTATTTGGTTTTGACTTTTTGCCTAAGGAAGTAGAATTGCCCTCTTTGGAGAGTACAGTAAGGAACTAATATGCCTCTTGCAGAGAACACTTAATGCCTCCTTAGATGATTTCACACAGCCTCAAACATTCATAATTTACACACTTGTCTTAGAAATTCATGTGACACCTAATCCAAGCCTATGGGCAAGGGCGAGAAGTAAAATAACCCATTGTGTTTTGATAAACTATGTTTTTATGACTACTGCAAAGTTGATTCTGCAAAATTACCTTCTTGCCTTAGGTAAAGTCAGATTCAACACCTGTCTTGTACAAAACAATTAATTTAGAGCAAACAGGCTGGGGTGGTTTGAATTAATCTTTTACTCACACGTTAGATGGAGCACGTCGCTGCAATTATTTGAACGAGGACTCCAGGAACTTTACGAGTTATTTCCCGGAGTTCATTTGTGTGCGTTACCGCCGGTAACTTCCCGAAGTGTAACTCGGGGAGGTCACGGTAAGGCTCAGAAGGGCAAACGGGCTCTCACCTTACCGCGCCGAGCCCCGAAAAGCCCTCGTTTGTCTCTAAAACCGGCGGAACGGGGGCGCTGGGAAGCGGCCCGGCCGTCCGGACCCTGCCCCTCCGGACCCCCGGTGGCCGCGGTCAGCCCGGGGATCCTGGACAGCCCGAGGATCCCGGGACAGCCCGGGGATCCTGGACAGCCCGGGGGTCCTGGGACAGCCCAGGGAGCCCCAGAGAGCCCAGGGAGCCCCGGGCAGCCCCGCGCAGTGCGGGCGGCCGTGACCCGGGGCGGGCGGGGGTCAGCCCGGCCTCCGGGCAGCCGCCGTGGCGGGGGCGGTGCGGGGTGGCCGCAGAAGCCGCTGTCCCCGGCGGCGGAGCAGCTGCCGCCGCCCCTCAGCGATGCCGCCGCAGCAGGGCTCTGCCCGCATGCGGCAGCGCACGGTGCTCCTGGTGGGGATCGCCGTCCTGCTGGCCGCCCTCGTCCTCGCCGTCGTGCTGGCCTCTCTCCTGACCCACGGGAGGCACGAGGTCAGTCCCCAAATGCTGAAGTGGAAGGACAGGGGAACCACTAAGAACTTGCAAGAAGTCATCCTGGGAAGATGCTACAACTACATCACGGCGCAGCACCCAGAGCTGGGGTGAGTAGAGGTGTGGGTTGTGCCTCAGGGGTGAGGTGAACAGAAATGTCTCTCGCCTCCACCTGGCCGTGGCCACGGGGTTTGCAGCGGCAGGGAGAAATCAGGCGCTTAAGAGCCCCCTTTTGTGGAAAAACGCGCAGACGGAAGCTCGGTGCCCCAGTGATGGCTTTTTAAGGAAACTATCTGCAGAAGCAATAAAATTAACACTAATCCTAGGTCAAAACAAAATCATAAATGGATTTTGCAACTTCCCTAATGCCAGCTGAAATAAAAGCTGAATTCTAACAGGAATGAGTACATGGAGGTGAAGCAATTTGCTGTAAAGCTGATCTGCCGAAGTCTGTAATGGGACACTGCAGTCCTGTTACCAAAACAACACAGGAGAGAGGGAAAGGAGAAGGCTCAACACAAATTTATAGGACAGAGAAAAATGTAAGAAAAACATTGAGAAGTATCCTGGGGTTTTCCAAAAGTGTTTTTAGCATTTGGATAAGACTTCTAGATGAGCTCAGAGAGCTTGCACAGAGAAATAGAGGTGGATCACAATACCAGCTCAGCACTGAACTTTTCGGTCCCTGGAAACGCCTTCCCCTGGAGGTGGTCCTTGCTCAGCTCATCACAGCAGGTAGTGCAACACCCCAGGCATCCCATCCCTCTTCTCCTGCAGAAGAGATTCCATGGGCCCAGGTCTGTGGCAATGTATTAGAGCTGAGAACTGATTTTCTGATCCCCTTCGTTGAAGAGAATGGCAAAGTATGAAATAAGGAATGCCCCGGGGCCCCCAGCTGGTACTGGGCACACCCAGACCCTCAGGACGGGATCCAGAGCAGCCAGGGTCTCTCAGCAGGGAGCCATGCATCCCTTCTGTGGCACCAGCCACCCTGCTTTGTGTCTGCAGTGAGCCTCTGGCAGAATTTTCCATCACTCTGGAATTTTCCATCACTCTGAGTGTTGTGGGGCTGCCCCACACCTTGGCCAGGTGACAGAACTGTCCCTGGTCTTTGTCCCAGAACAGGCAATTGCCACCTCTTGTTTTCATGACATTGAGCCGATGAGAACAAAGCTGTATATAGTTTGCTTGCATTTGGATTTCTTTTGCTTTGGATATCCTGCACTGTATGAAAAAGCTGATCTGCAGTATTTGAAGGGTCACGTGGAAAACAATGGCCTGAGCACACAGAGACTTGTTCATGCTTTACATTAAATATTTGAGTGGCTTTAGTGAGGGAAAGGAGGATTCTTTTGCAAATAAAATTTTAAAGCTCCTGAAATTTGAAAAAATCATATGTATGTTTCTAAAAGCATAAATTTGTTAAAGGATTATACACTCAATATTTAAACCTGAAATTGTTTTCAAACCTAATAGCCTTCATTACATGGGCTCGTTTCATTCAAATTGGGATGCTGAAGATACGAACTACTTTTGTGTGAATATGTTTCAACCACAGCCATGTGTGTGTTTTCACTGACAACACAGGCTGAACCTGGACCACAAATATCTCTAGGAATGATTTGTTTAGGCAATTAATTCAAGGGCAGTTTTAAAAATATCACAAATCCATTATCACAAGTTATCTAAAAAGTTTGTTATTACAAAGCACAATATTTTGGGCCATTCATAATCCAACAGTGCTTAATACCTTTGTGGCTGTAAACTCACTTTCTTTCAGATTAAATGACTTCTGAACTGTAGGACCCTTTTTTGTTCTATTTTATTCAAGAGGCAATATTTTCTGAAGCATAGACCACAGAAGAAGGAAAAATATGCTTGTTTATGTACATCTGAAATGTTCAGAGGTTTCCTGAATGGAGAATTAATTACAGGTGCTTTTCTGGGAATCAAACCCAAGATTGCTCATTTCTGATTGCTCTGAGCTCTGTGCGGTTTGTGCTGTAACCACTTCTGTCACTGCACTTTCTGCTAATGACCTGGGTGCCTTTAGGACACATCAGAGAGTGGTATCTTTCATCCCTCTCTCTTTCATCATTAATGTAGGCCTTGGATCCTCTGTTGTATGGGATCTCTGGTGCACTTAATCAAAGAGAAGAGTAGGAACAGAGAACTGCAGAACCATGGGCAGTCTTATGAGCTGGGCAAGCTGTGCCCTGTACTCTGCCAGGACTATTACTGCCACTACTTCCCACCATGGGAACTTCCTTATCTTGGTTAGAAATCTTCTCATTTTCTCATAAATCTGTCCATATTCTCTTCTTGCGCTTTTAATCTTACACTGACACAGGCATTTTTTTAAAAAGATCTGCTTTTATTAAACTCATGGACAATTCCTTGTATTTTTGCCTTTTTTTTTTTTTTTATATCAGAGTCACTAAGTTCCACCTTTGATATCACCTTTGATGATATTTTCTGAACATAAAATCTATTCACTGTGGCAGTTAGTGACATTTACTACTTTTGGAGTGCCATATTTCAAACTAGAATAGCTGGCAGGCTTTGGAAAAAAGGGGGTTGTTGACATATAACTATGGATATTATACTTGTTTCTGGCTATCACAGATGGATTTAACAGAGTTCTACAGCCTCCATTTAGCTCTACTTTTGTGTCTGTGTGCTGTAAATAATTTAAGAAGGCCTCTGACATGTTAGTGTCCACCTTCCCTATCAGAGCTCTTTAATCCTCAAGGATTCCTCCTTGCACTCTCCCTCATCTTACTGTAGCCCTTACACCATCCACAGCCAGCTCACTCTGGTCATGCTCTTCTATTTCCCAATACAATCTTTGGGCTGAACCCAGGACCAGAGAGGCCACTGAAAGGCTCTTGCTGTCTGTGGTTGAGTTTTGTAAACACCTCATGCAATCAGATTTTATCCTGTTGTTTTGATTATTCTTCAAATTCATCAAAACTCTGCATTGAATTTGCTCACAAAAGGACATTTCTCTGGTACTGTATTACAAGATCTGTCGGGAATCATTTTGTTCAACTGCTTGCGTGCAATAGAATCCTCAGGCTTATTTCTGCTGACTGACTCTTAACATCTGTACAATGTACAATTTGTACATGCAATTTCCTCAGTCTTCCTGACTAAACTTTGTCATGACAAAGTTCATGGGGAAGAGAATACCAAACATTTCAATAAAGCATTGTCAATACTAGCCCTATTTTTTAGGAAGAAATGTGGATGCCATTTAGGGGATTTGTTCCCTGCATACAGTCATGCGCTTACATACTGACAGTAAAGAATGATATTTCTCTTTTGACTTTCCTGGAAAAGAATGGCTCCAAAGCAATAGTTTGTCACATAGCAGTTTGGTCTGAAGAAACAATTTGACCTCCAATTGCTTCGTCCCCTCTTTCCCAGTAATACGGACTCCCTCTCGTGGCTAACAAACCGCTTGCAAGGCTCACCTCCAGTCCCATGCAACGCTAAGTTTCCAGGGATTTATTTATCCCTGGTACAATCAGAGCGGGGAGGGCAGCGGGCTCACCTGCACAGCTCAGGGAATTCAGCAGATCCGTGCTGACAGACACCAGTTGTGGTGACACGATAACTCGCCCTTCACTTGCAGGATGCTGCTTATGATGGTTTGGCACCTTTGTACCTGTTTGGGGCAGAAAAAGTGGCAACAGCTGTAGCCTAAGTTAACTGGTTTAGGTTTCCTCTTCACCACATTAGAATTGCCAGGCTGAGGTCAGGAACCAGCAGCACTTTGTGACCTGGGGAAGGAGTGGAGAAGACATGTTATCTGAAAGGTCATAGTCACTAATGCCCAAAGCATAAACGATGATTTTTTTTTGGAGCTAGAAATAACTGATTTTACATTTGCAGCTCAAGATAATTTCCATGCTCCCCCTCACAACTGCAGTCACTTCTCAGTCTTTAATTCACAGAATCACAGAGTAGCAGAATGGGTCAGGTTTGAAGGGACTACAGAGGGTCAGCTGGTCCACCCTCCATGCCCACACAGGATCATCTTAGAGCACAACAGGCTTGTGTCCAGAGAAGCTGGCAAGGACCTACTACTTAAAAACTGTTTGAAGTTAAACCAACTTATTTTTTGTCTAACTTCTGACAGGAAGAGGGTACCAAGGACATAGACAGGGAGCAGTTTCAATAAAACATGTAACTGCAGGCCAAACAATGCCACTGTGCCTGAGTAAGCAGTGCAAAAACCTGATGATAAAGCTGAAAGTGTAAAACTTCAATACATTTTTCATGCAATCTTGTGTGGACACAGAATGTGTTTCCCCTTTTAATAAAATTAGATAAACCAATTTTTTTTTATCTTTAGAGGCAAATCCTGTTGTAACAAATTTTAACAGTCTGTAATTCCATTAAATTTAGTAAGAGTTGGTGCATGTCCAGGAGAGCTCTGTCTCCTGACTGCACAATCATGAATGCATTTTCCCTTCCCATTCCTTTGCAGCCTGTGGAGATGGAGGTATATTTTGTCAAAAAGAACATATGGACCATGATTTTGTGTGAGATATTATTGCATTCACAGCTTAATTTCTTCCCAAAAGAAATCTGGGGTTTGTTCTATGCTTGCTTTTGCATTTTGCCTTCATGCTTTACTAGGCATTTTTAATCTAATTTCTTTGTGTTTGTTCACTGATTGTTAATGCTTTCACATCAAGCATGGTACTAAATAACCATGATTTGATTCAGTGGCACAAAAATACTAGCTTTATTTTTTATAACCGTGATATTATACTGAAACTTACCTGAGATTAGTTTTTTTTTTCATTGAGAAAATATGCCTTACATGAAAGAAACCATTACTGAACCAGTCTTCTGAAAAGTATGAGTTACTACCCAATTGTAATGCATTAGACCCTCTTAGAGTGCTCTGTAGATTTCTAAAGCTTCCTAATTTGATATCCAACTAACTGCAAAGGCTTTAGTGTTTCTTTGTTTGTAAGAAAACACTTTCTAAAAACAATCTGTTATCATTGCTGTGCCATCTTTTCTGGTGCCAGAGCAAACAAAAGGCTTTGTTTGCACTGTCTGTGGCAGAGGACACCAGGGCCTGGTGACAAGC